TATATATATATATATATATATATATATATATATATATATATATATATATATATATAATATATGAAAAAATTGATGTGGGTAGTCAAATGAAAGGTCTTGATGAGTGTAACTGCGGGATGAGCTTATATCTTTAAAAATGTCAATATTTTACAAGATACAAGGTCATTTCTCAATTATGTATATAGAGATAGAGCATTTTCGAATACAGTCTAAATACTTATCATAATAAATTGACTATCCGTAAGAATAAAATGAAACCTTGAAAAGGCACAAATTCAAATCAAGACCTTTGCAATGACACTAAATTTAATCATAAAAACCCATTTTATCATATAAATACACTGGCCACAAAATTTTGCTTATTCTCTTAATAATATAGATTTAGTTTATTAATTAAAAAACAATTAATTATCAGTTCTTTTTTTTTATAGGAATTTTTTTCTTAGGCTTAGGAACTTTGGTTGCCTTCAAACGTTTCGGGTTCTTCTGAATTTGTTTCACTTTGAGAGGCTGATAAACTGACAATTTTATCTTTTCTGGTTTAGCTTCTTCTTGTTCCATCGGTTCATCTTTTTTTTCTGAAGAATTATTCCTTGGAAGATCCATGTACCGCTTTTTTGGAGCATGATCATTTGTATCCTCTGCAATGTGAGCTAGAGAAATGAATTCTTCTTCCGCTCGGAATTCCGGAGGCTGGAAAACTCTTTCTGAGGTAAACGAACGATACTTGTAGACAGAGGAAGGGTTGAAAAGCTTGGATTGGATCTTTGGAGTCTCTGGCTCTGGTTCTGGGCTTGGAACTGGTTCAGGTTCAAATTTATCTGAAGGGAATAATTCTTTTGGGCTTTTGGGGGCTGGCAATGATTGGGACAAGTGTGATATTTTTTCATATAATTTATAAAAGTGGGAATTTAATTCTGCTTCTGATTTCTGAATTAAAAATTTTTAAAACATTAATTATTATTTAGGTTAGTTAGAAATTTTAGATTAAAATTACCTTACCAAATAATTAAATTACCTTTAATCCAATAGTTAGACTAGCAAATCCTATTTTTTCCAAGCACATTTTTTTCAGTCCAGACAACAAAACAACAGGAATATTTTTATTTTGTCCCATTAAAATAATATGCTTGATCATCAACATAGGATCTACATTAGCTTCTACTAGAATACAGCAAATGTCTTTTTTCTCTACAGCACGTGTCACTGCATTTACTCCAAGAATTATTTTATTTCTAAAATGATCAATAAATAAATAAATTATTATAAAAAAAAGATAAATGTTTTTTTTTGTAAATTAAAATTAATTTAGCAGATCTTTAATAATTTTTATAACAATTAAATTAAGGCAAAAAAAATTGACATGTAGAAAAAAAAATAAAAGTTCAATTTTTTAAAAATTATTTTTTTGAAAAAAATTTATTTGTTAAAAAAAAATTAAAAAATGATCAAGTGACTACTAAGCTAATAACTTCAACGTCTTTTTTTTTAATTATAAATTAATCATGAAATTACTCTATATAATTATTAAAAAATTAAAAATAATTTGTTAAAACTCACACATTGGCATCTAGCTCATCTTCAGACAGTTTATTGACTTCCTTACGCTCTTCTTTGCTCAATTTCCTCAACTGAGACCAACTTAATTTCTTCTTACATTTTTTTTTCGGTAACAACCTGTCAAAAATTTTCTCGTTATATTTTCATAAACATTTATTAAAATTTTACAATAAAATCAGCTGATAAGCTATTTAAAAATTTTTTTTTAACAAATAAGTTATGGCGAAAAAAAAAATAAAAAAAATTGGCATGTAGGAGTTAAAATTTTTCGATTTTTTTCTTAATAATTAAATTAGAACAAGGAAATATTTTTTAAAAATTGCACTTACAGTTTTTCAAGTGTTTTGCAAGTGAAAAATTTTTTTTTAATCATTTTTTCAATAAAAAAAAATTCTAAAAATTTTTAAATGTCGGCTAACTTAATTTTCATAAAAAAAAATTTAAAAATTCTCTTATGACTGCTAACTTTACTGTCATATTTTTTAAATAATAATTTCAGTCATATAAAATAAAATTACTCACTCATTTAAAATGTCACTCAGTTCATTTATTTCATCCTCAGATTTTAAAATTGGCCTGCAAATAATTATAAATAAATTTTTTTAAATAAATAAACAATAAAATTTTAATTTTTTATGAAAATTAAGTTAGCCGACACTAAAAAATTTTTGTTTTTTTTTTTTTTTTTTAATTGAAAATTAGGACTAAAAAACTATTTTTAAAAAATTCCACGGATAATTGTTAAAATTTTTTTACCTGTGAAAATTTTTGTTTTAATTTTTTAAAAATTATTTTTCAACAAAATAAATTATCAAAATTTTTCAAATGTCGGCTAATTTAATTTTCATAATTTTTTATAATAAATAAATAATTACCAAATAAACTCATACGGCTGCGCCAAAACATTCCTCATAACTTTTTTGACAGATGCATTTTTTTGTTTCTTCAAACTCATTATTAATTATTTAAATTAATTAATTACAACAATTAACTTACAATAAAAAATAAACAAACTGTTACTCTAACCTCTACAATTAAATAATTACAACTGGATCGACAACTGACAATTACTGTTTACTTATTGTTGGTAAGCAAAAAGTAATTATTACAGAAGCCACCAGGGGCGCGTTTTCCGCAAGACCGGAATGACGTCACCGCCCAGTCTCCCAGCATTTCGTTAAAATTTCTCTCCTTCCGGCAACGTATCACGCTTTTGAGGTTGTCTTGCCTTTATAATTAACAATAATTAATAAAAGTACTATTTTATAATCTTAATACTCTAAAATGGCCATTGGTGATTTGAAAAGCCCAAAAGGTCTCAAGGACCTCGACACTTTCTTGGCGGAACGCAGTTACGTCGAAGGGTAATTATTTTTAATTTTTACATTAAATTATTATGCACGTGTCGGCATTTTGTTTTTTTTTTTTTTCTAATTTCTAATAATAGGTTATTTTTTTTTGTTATTTATTTATTCAATCAAATTTTTGACCTTGCTACAATTATTTTCTTCATCAAGATTAAGTAATTTAATTATCAATAATAAAATTGTAAAATTTCTGACAAGAAAAAACATCTGACAGCTTTTAGAAAAAAAAATTATTTAAACAAAAAAATACAATCTTTTTGTAAAAATTAAAAAAAAATCTAAATGCAATTTTTATAAAATAATTTTTTGCTCCAATTTATTTCTTAAAATCAATCCAAAAATTCGACAGATGTTTTGTGATTTTTATTTTGTAGAATTATTTTATTTTTACTTATAAATTATAAAAAAAAAAATGAATAAAAAGAAATCTTTAGAATAATTTTCAATATTTTTATTACATAAAATTTTTTGATGAAAAAAAAAAAATTAAAAAATTGACAATTTGCTGATTTTGGTACCATCCAACATCTGGAATTTTTTAAATGATAATTTTTTAATAAATTACTTTAAATATTTGATTAATTTTTTTTTTAATTGAAAAAAATGAATTTTTCTTTTATTTATAAAAAAAAATTATAATTATTAATTTTAAATGAAATTTTAGATGGCAAGCATCCCAAGCTGATGTCGCAGTCCTGGAGGCCTTGGGCCAAGCCCCAACGGCGTCAAACCCCCACGTCTTGAGGTGGTACACACACATCAAGTCCCACGAGCTGGCAAAGTTGCCAGGCACCAAGAAAATCCCCAGCAGCTTGGGTGTCGCTTCATCAGGCTCCGCACCAGCTGCCGCCAAGCCCGCTGACGACGATGACGACATCGATCTCTTCGGTTCCGACGATGAAGAAGATGCCGAGGCCGAGAGAATCAAGGCTGAGCGAGTCAAGGCCTACGCCGAGAAAAAATCCAAGAAACCCGCCCTCATCGCCAAGTCCAGTATCGTCCTTGATGTCAAGCCATGGGACGATGAGACTAACATGCAGGAGATTGAAGAAAAAGTCCGTGCTATTGTTATGGATGGACTTGTTTGGGGAGCTTGTAAGTATTTTTTTTTTTTTTTTTATGATACTAATATTTCAAAATAATTTTGAAATTTCTGCAATTAATCAATTATGATAAAATTTTTACATACAATTTAAAAAAAAATTTTTTTAATAATAATTCAATTAAAAAAAAATTGTAAAATTTGTATCATTTTTTTTTATTGAATTTATTTATTAAATTTTTTTTAAAGTAATTTAATTGAAAAAAATTGCCAGATATTTCTATTTTTTTATAATAATTTAATTTAAAAAATTATCAGATTTTTGTATTGTTATGTAAAATATATTAATTTAGGGTAATTAATTAATTTTACATTTAAAATATTTAATGTGTTTAAGTATTTGGTCCTAGCGTGTTAGGCTAATAATAGACCGGGAACTTCCGAGTTTTAATCTATTGAGAAAGATAGGTTTGTTTGAATAAATTGATGTAGTTGAATAATTTTAATACATATATTGTTTGAATCCAAAATTAATATCATAAGTTAAATTACAATAATTACAATTATTACACAGTGATTGAAGTTAACTTTTCTTTCATATAACGATTTTACAATATTACCAAATTCACAAATATCAATAATTTAAAATATACCTGATAAAAAATTTGATGAACCTTGTTGATTTAATTTATTTTAGTTGGTTTCACTTTACCTTTACAAATGTTTTACTTTTTATACAATAGATTTACACGTGGTCTATTGAGACTTATTTAAACTATATACGATGTTAACACTAGGACGTCAGGACAACGAGAGAGATTTTTTGGTGACAATTGCAAGGTGTCGAATTTTAGGGCGTTACTAATTTCCACTCATTGGGGGAAACAAATGTCCAATTATTTGTCTAATTTCTCGGGCCCTTACCCTCTCTCTTAAATTTGTCTAAAAATGTTGCATGAGTCCCTCTACTTGGGTCTGAGTGCAACATACTTTCTCACTTACTCTTATGTTCTATTATTCATCTATGTGTTTGTGTATACGTAAGCGCATTTACGCATAGACAAAGACATACATTTGTACTGTCTACATTAATTTATTTATTAAAATCATATGAATAAATATGTACTTGAATCTAGCATCTCTTACGTTTTCTTGAATTTAAATTATTTATTTGTAGAAATATTTCTGTTTTGTCGTTTTATAAATTTGTTGTATTATTTTAGAATTTAATTGTTTAATATTTGTTTATTTTTAATTATTTAACTTTCAAGTTCTATTTTTTTTATTTGTTTTTCATTTCATATTTAATTTTGTTGTCTAAAAATTATTTCAGAAAGTTCATTATTAAAATTTATTTCGATATTTTTCTCAACACTGAAATTCTGTCATTAAGTTTCTGTTCTAAAATCTTTCGGTTTAATATAAATCTTTTATCTTATGTTCTTTATCATTAGTTAAGTATTTCTTATTTTAAGTATAAGTGAGTTTGCTTACGTATAACAAAACTCCCATTTATCTATTTAATCTCTTTAATTAAAATACCTGGGCCCTCAGACTAATTACGGGAATTTCCCTGGGCCTTTTGCAAAAATCGAACGAGACACTTAATGACCGCACTCAAATTAGCTTTAACAATCGTTAAAAACGAAATAAAATTATACTCGATTTTTATAGTTAATAAATATGTAAAGAAAAATTTCTTTACATAACAGTATCATTTTTTTTTTAAAGTAGTTAATTTAATTGAAAAAAATTGTCAGATATTTTTATCATGTTTTTTTACAATAATTTAATTAAAAAAATTGCCAGATTTTTCTATTTTTTTTTATAATAATTTAATTTAAAAAATCATCAGATTTTTGTATCATTTTTTTTATTGAACTTTTTATTTACTAAATTTTTTTTTTAAAGTAATTTAATTCAAAAAAAATTATTAAATTTTTGTATCAATTTTTTTTTTATTGAACTTTTTATTTATTAAATTTTTATTTAAAGTAATTTGATTAAAAAAAATTGTCAGATATTTGTATCATATTTTTTTAAAATAATTTAATTAAAAAAATTGTTAGATTTTTGCACAATATTTTTTTTCATTAAAATTTTTTTTAAGTAATTTAATTAAAAAAATTGCCAGATTTTTTATATTAATTTAATTTCAAAAATCAGATTTTAATGTCAAAAAAAAATATTTTTTTTTAATTTCAATTTTCTAATAAATTTTTTTTTTTTGCAGCAAAATTGGTCCCAGTTTGCCATGGAATCAACAAACTCCAAATCATGTGTGTAGTAGAGGACGACAAAGTGTCTGTCGACCTTCTGACTGAGATGATCCAGGAGTTCGAGGATCACGTACAGTCCGTCGACATCGCAGCTTTCAACAAGATTTAAATTTTACTTTCATTATTCTTCTGGTCCATTATTTTGAAATTTAAATAAAGTGATTCGTTTTTGAATAATTTGAAGTTTTTTTGTTTTTTTTATTTTATCATTTCATTTTTTTTCTTAATATTAACAAATTAATTATTTATAAAATATAATTCTTAAATTTTTGATAATTGATATAAAGTATATTAATTCTTTTAAATAAGACAAAGCAATAAAAATTATTGATAATTTTAAAAACAATATTTTATTTTTAAAAATTTAGTCAATCTTGCATTTAAAACCATGACCTCACATAATTTATTCCCCCGAAAATTTTAGAAAGTTCCTTTGATTCTTCTTTATATATTTTATTACACTATAAAATATATCCCCATAAACAAACATAATTGTCAAAGTTTTTATTGAAAAAAAAAATTTAGTCCACGATTAAGAAATTTTTTCTAAGCGATTTTATGCGCAAAAATCCGGTTTAGATAAAAATACTTTTGATATTCACTAAGTGTCAATTTAAATAAAATTCAATTCTTATCTTAAAAAAAAATATGATATTAAAGTTAGCCGACATTTTTAATTTTTTGATTTTTTTTAATAATTAAATTAGAACAAAAAAAATATTTTTAAAAAATTGCACTTACAGTTTTTAAAGTTTTTTACAAATGAAATTTTTTTTTAGTTTTTTTGTAATCATTATTTCAATAAAAAAAAATTATTAAAATTTTTAGATGTCGGCTAACTTAATTTTCATAAAAAAATATGTAATTCTTAGAAAAAAAAAAAAAAAATAAAAAACGAGCAATTAATCACAAATAAAATGAATAAGCCAGAACAATTTAATTGAATCATTAAACAATTAATTATTTTTTTGGTCAAGTCTCATCATTGAATTTCTTTGTTTTTCTCAATAAAAAAAAAAATAAAATGTTTTAATCTGAGTAAATAAAATTATTAGAATTAATTTTAATGATTCATAATAAATTTATCTAAAAGGTCGCATTCATAAAAAAGAATTTAACTTATTTTATATATTACAAGTAAATAAAATTCTTTTTACCAAAAAAACAATCCACACGGATGTAATCAACTATTTTTTTTATTTATTTAAATGTTTTTACTTTGAAACTTGTGTTATATCACTGGGATTTTCTAGATTGTTATCATTAAGAATCTTCAAGTTCAATTATATCATTGCAACAGCAAATTTTATTACACATTGCACATAAAATAAAACAAACTCGGATAAATATTTAAGAAAAAGAAGAAATATATTTTTTTTTTTTTTTTTTCAATAAAATGTAACAATTACTCAAGCTATTTGTTATTATATTAAATTACATTACTTATTACAATTATTTATGTGACTAGACATAGATGTTTGTAATTGCTGGATGAACATGAGGGTCTTTAGATGCTTGGATTCCCCTCTCAAAGACCGACGACGGCTCGACATTGAAGCGAGGTATATAAGGACTCGATCTTGCAAATCGGTATCCAGTTAACTTTTATCGCTTGTGTCTATCGATCTTGTGTCTGTATTTTTTGTTCCGCTATTTTATTAGTAGAATAAAAATGAGAGCTTTTGTATTGTTGATGGTAATTGCTTGTGCCTATGGTAAGTATTTTTTTTTTTTGGTTTATCTGAAGAAGAAATGTAAGATTTTTATAAGAAAAGTTTATATGTAAACATTTCTTGTGATTTTATTATCAGTATAACTTTTTTTTTTAATATTTGACCTGAAAACTTTGATTATTATTATTATTATCATCAATTCATTTTTTTTTATTTATTAATAATTTAAAAGTAAAATTATTTTTTACTTTTTTTTTTTAAGTTTAAATTTTTATTTTGTAAATTAAAAAAATAAATTTTTTAATAAATAAATTGATAGAAATTATAATGATAATCTATATTGTTAAGAGAATAAGGAAAAATTTTGTTTCCAGGATAGTCATATGATAAAATCGGTTTTTTTAGTGAAATTCAGTGTCATTGCAAAGGTCTTGATTTAAATTTGTGCATTTTCAAGGTTTCATTTCATTATCACCGATAGTCAATTTATGATGATAAGTATTTAGGCAGCTTTCGAAAATGCTCTATCTCTAAATATATAGCTGAAAAATGACCTTGTATTTTGTGAACTATTGACATTTTTAAAGATATAAGCTCATCCCGATGTAACACTTATCAAGACCTTTCATTTGACTACCCACATCAATTTTTCATATATTTTATATATTTCATAAATATCACATATATAAAATATATGAAATATATAAAAAAAATCATGTGGGTACTCAAATGAAAGGTCTCGATGAGTGTAACATCAAGATGAGCTTATATCCTCAATAACATCATTAGGTGACAAGATACATCATCATTTCTTAATTATTGATATTTTTAAAGATATAAGCTCATCCCGATCTTACACTTATCAAGACCTTTCATTTGAGTACCCACATCAATTTTTCATATATTTTATATATTTATATATATTATATATATGTATATATGAAAAATATGTCAAAAATACATGTAGGTACTCAAATGAAAGCTCTTGATGAGTGTGACATCGAGATGAGCTAATATCTTTAAAAATGTCAATAGTTGAGAAAGTACAGGACATTTTGACAAATATTTTATGAACTATTGTCATTTTTAAAGATATAAGCTCATCCCGATGTCACATTCATCGAGACTTTTCATTTGAGTACCCACATCAATTTTTCATATATTTATATATATTATATATATGTATATATATGAAAAATATATCAAAATGCATGTGGGTACTCAAATGAAAGCTATTGATGAGTGTAACATCGGGATGATCTCATATCTTTAAAAATGTCATTAGTTAAGAAAGTACAGTGCAATTTAACAAAAGTCATTATTTAATAAAGCAAAATTTTATTTATTGATAGTTTATAAGTCATGGCAGTCACATAGTGACTGCAAGGTTGCTAGTTATTATTATTATTATTATTATTATTATTATTATTATTATTATTGCTACTATGAAATTTTTCTATTAAAAATTTCAAGTTAATACTAATAATAAAAAAATTAATAATAAAAGCTGAGCTTATATCTTTAAAAATGTCAATATTTAAGAAAGTACAAAGTTGCTAGTAATAATAAAATAATTTTCAAATCTAAAAATTTAAAAAAAATTAAAAATTTTTATTAAATTTCAAATTAAAAAAAAAAATTTTTTTTTTTTTAATTCTAATAATAATAACTTTGAAATATTTTCAGTTTTCTTCTCTAAATAATAATAATAACAATTTATCTGACCCAAAAAATAAATTTAAACAAGCTAAATAAATATTTAACCCAGTTTTCATCTAACATTACTTCAATGAAAATTTAATAATTGAGTCACGGCTAGAATAGTTTACAATGACCGTCAGCTACCATCTATCATCTTCCCCATCTGCAAGCAATAGCAGTTTAACGAATCAATTATTTAAAACTTTAAATAAAATTTTATTATTATTTGTATTCTTACTAAAAATTATTCAAACAACAAGAGTGCGTGGTCGCATTTAGAAGGACGAGTAATTGCGTCGGCGTAATCGCGTCACCGTTTAGTTTACAATAATTAAAGTTAAAGCATAAACTTCCAGATCTATATATCTAAATATATACCGAAATATATATTTACGGTCAAGTTATAGTTGTAATTATTTAATGGTAAAAACTGGAAAATATGCAAATAAAAGATCCGGTTTAGCGAGTTTAAACTATTGCTAGTTTTTAAATTCCAGTCGCTTAAAACTCAAGTTCAAGGGAATCTACTTTGAGTTCATAACATATATAAAACAGCTCTTAAACTTCATATTACTTCAAGGACTTTAATTCATCCACGATTTTATATTGACTTTTATTTATTAAGTATTTTTTTTTAAGCGATTATTAGAAATTAAAATTCTGATCACGTACTTCCTTATTTTAATTCTTAAATTTTTTATATTTTTTTTTTTCTATCAAGACAGATTTTTTATCGTTTCTTTTTCTTCAAAATTTTTAGTATAATTCCTTTAATTAGATAAATTTATTTAGTATTTATACTAAGAATTCATGAATTTCTAATTTTTAGTACTTTTTGTCTCCAATTTTAATTGACAATATTAATTTTTCAATTTTTCTAGAAAAAAAAAATTTTTTTTTAAATATTCATGAGTAATTTTAAAAAGATTCAAATTTTGCTATTTTAAAAATTTTTTTTATTATTTTTTTTAATCAGAGTTATTAATTATTTATTATTATAACACAAAACTAAAGAATAAAAATTTGAAAAAATTTCTTTAAATATTTTAAGCATTAAATATTTAATTTAAATAATAATATTAAATTTTTTAACATAATATTTGAAATATAAAATAATAAATTATTTAAAATAATTTTTCTAATATTAAATAAAAAATTTGTTATTAAGTAAAGATATTAAGTAAAAAATTTGACAATATTAATTTTTCAATTTTTCTAGAAAAAAAAAATTTTTTTAAAATATTCATTAGTAATTAAAAAAAATTCAAATTTTGCTATTTTAAAAATTTTTCAATTAATTTTTTTAGAGTTATTAATATTTATTATTATAACACAAGACTAAAGAATAAAAATTTGAAAAAATTTCTTTAAATATATCAAGCATTAGATATTTAATTTAATAATAATATTAAATTTTTTAAAATAATTTTTCTAATATTAAATAAAAAATTTGTAATTTATCTATAAATTTTTTTTTAAAGCACAAGACGAAGAAGCAGAAGCTAAAGCGGCATCAGTACCTCAGCAAATCCCAAAAACATGTTTCGGCTGCATGTGTGAAGCCGCGTCGGAGTGCGATACCAAAACTGGATGTTTGGGTGACGTTTGTGGGCCATTTCGGATCACCTGGGGTTATTGGGCAGATGGAGGCAAACCTACGCTTAACAATGAGTCACCAAACGCTGAAGGAGGTAACAATAACAATCTCAATAACAAAAATAATAACAATAATCATAATAAAAAATAAATTATTTCAGCCTGGACTCGTTGCGTAAATGATCCCTTCTGTGCCGCGAATGCCGTTCAAGGATACATGGACCGTTTCGCTCAGGTGAATATTTTACAAAATCGAAAATTAAAAATATTTTATTTAAAATTAGATTTAATTTTAACAAATTTTTTTTTAGGATTGCAACGGAGATGGTGTGATAAATTGTGACGATTACGCGAGGATCCACTACCTTGGCGGGTACGGATGCAGCGGTCCATTGCCTCCCAAGTACGAAAACGCCTACAAAACTTGTATGTCGACATTCAGTGGATAAAAAATTTTTTATAAATTTAAATCGCTTATTTTTAATTAGTTTTTTTTTTTTTAATTTAAAAACTTGAACAAATTTTGATAATTAATTTTTGTATTTTGTATGTGATGACTGATGCGGTGAAATTGAGCTAATAAATTATATGAGACTTTATACAATTACTGCTTGGTCTTTTTGTTAATTTTTTTAATTTTTATAACGACTCATTTAAAATCAAAAAAAAAATTTCCACTAATAATTTTTTTTCAATTTTCATTTGTGGAATTTTCAAATTTAATTTTTTTAATAATAATTTAATTGATGAAAAATTATTAAAAAATTTTTAATTTTAGATTACTTTTTTTTTTTTTAAAGCTCGTTAGCTGTAATTCGAAATTTTTATAACAAATCAATTATAATAAAAAAAAAATACTGATAAAATTTCCACTTATCGTTTTTTTTTACTTTTCATTCGTGGAATTGTTTAATTAAATTTTTTTAATAATAATTTTATTAAAATAAAATTATTAAAAAATTGGCAATATCAGTTAAATTTAGTGTTTTTTTTTTTTATGATACTTGTTAGTTGAAATTGGAAATTTTTTTTTTAATTTTATATAACAAAGCATTTACAATAAAAAGAAAAATTACTTAAAAAAATTTTCACTAATAATTTTTTTTTTAATTTTTATTTGTGGAATTTTGTAATTAAATTTTTTTAATAATAATTTAATTGATATAAAATTATTAAAAAATTGGCAATATCAGTTAAATTTAGTGTTTTTTTTTTTTATGATACTTGTTAGTTGAAATTGGAAATTTTTTTTTTAATTTTATATAACAAAGCATTTACAATAAAAAGAAAAATTACTTAAAAAAATTTTCACTAATAATTTTTTTTTTAATTTTTATTTGTGGAATTTTGTAATTAAATTTTTTTAATAATAATTTTATTAAAATAAAATTATTAAAAAATTGGCAATATCAGTTAAATTTAGTGTTTTTTTTTTTTATGATACTTGTTAGTTGAAATTGGAAATTTTTTTTTTAATTTTATATAACAAAGCATTTACAATAAAAAGAAAAATTACTTAAAAAAATTTTCACTAATAATTTTTTTTTTAATTTTTATTTGTGGAATTTTGTAATTAAATTTTTTTAATAATAATTTTATTAAAATAAAATTATTAAAAAATTGGCAATATCAGTTAAATTTAGTGTTTTTTTTTTTTATGATACTTGTTAGTTGAAATTGGAAATTTTTTTTTTAATTTTATATAACAAAGCATTTACAATAAAAAGAAAAATTACTTAAAAAAATTTTCACTAATAATTTTTTTTTTAATTTTTATTTGTGGAATTTTGTAATTAAATTTTTTTAATAATAATTTTATTAAAATAAAATTATTAAAAAATTGGCAATATCAGTTAAATTTAGTGTTTTTTTTTTTTATGATACTTGTTAGTTGAAATTGGAAATTTTTTTTTTAATTTTATATAACAAAAAAAAAGACACTAGAAATTTTTTTTAATAATTTTATTACATAATTATTCAATTGCTTTTAATTATTGTTTAAAAATGAACGAGATAATTAATAATAATCACTGAAAGAATTTATTTATTTATTGCTCTAAAATTTTCAAAATATTGTTTTATCCAACAAACAATAAACCAAACTTATTTCTCTCCTTTGATGATTAAAAATTTTATTTATAAATATCAATAATCATTATTAGTAATTACGTATTTTAATAATTTATAAAACTTAATCGTTAATTACATTAGTCCTCAGAAATCAGAATAAAAAGATTCTGTTTCATTTGCGCATCCATAAATCTTCTCCTTCATTACAATAATAATAATTATTTAAAATTTCACGCGACTGATACAATCATTACAAGTAATTACAGATACTGATTTTTATTTTTAAATATCCTCAGCTTATATAATTTCAGTATCTGTAATTTTTTAAATATCAATTACAGTTAAAATTATAATTAAAAAATTTTTAAACATCAAATCATCTAAGCTAGTAAAGAATTACAGAAGCTGTTTTGTTAAATCAATAATAATGGTCAAAGATTGACAACTGTTATTACAAAGTAAAAATAATTAAATAGCTTCAGTAGAAACTATCCAAGGCAAGAACAATTTATTTTAAAAATAATTCTATATTATTTAATTATTTCAAAAATTACTCGAGATTTTTTTAAAAATATATCCAGAAAATTTGTATTGTTCTTCGAGTAAGTTTAAAATTTTTTTAGGCTAATATAAATTTTTCTTAAGTCGCGTTGCCAGTTTATTCAATTAATAGTTAATAATAATTAAAAATTCTAAGCTAATAAATGTAGATAAATTCAATAAAAAAAAAAAAGATTAATTTTCGAAGTAAATTTTAATTAGAGGCAATCTTTGGCCGCGTCGTCAACGGACAATTCAATGAAAGGACTGAAGCTCTTGGTCGAGTGGCCGAAGCTGTTAGCACACTCGCTGAAACCTTTCGCCAGGTCTCCCATTTCTGTATCCTCAGTTTCTGGGTTCTTGGGTAACGCAGCGGGAAATGAAAATTCTGGTGGATTTGAAGGGGGTACTAATGAGGTAGCTGGTGTTTTGAAATTTTCTGGATCCAGTACAGTGGTTAGTCCAGAACTCTGGCCATGTTGAGTACAAGCTAGAGCTAGCAAATCTTTCTGATTTTCTCTTGCGTCCACCAGAAATATACTTTCTTTTACTTCTTTTGGATTGTACTCGTCAATTCTGAAATAAGTAAATTGTAATAATAATTTAAGAATCACAAATATTATTATTATTATTGTTATTATTATTATGATTTATTAGAAACTTTTAATAATAGTAATAATGATAAAATTTCAAATCACTGTATTTATTATTATTATTTATATTATTAAAAGAATAAGAAAAAGTTCGCGTCCAGGATAGTCATAAGAAAATCGGTTTTCTTTAGTCAAATTTAGTGTCATTGCAAAGGTTTTAACTTGAATTTGTCCCTTTTCAAGGTTTCATGTCATTCTTACCGATAGTCGATTTATTATAATAAGTATTTAGGCTGTATTCGAAAATGCTCTATCTCTGGATACATAATTAAGAAATGACCTTGTATCTGGTGAACTATTGACATTTTTAAAGATATAAGCTCACCTTGACGTTACACTCATCGAGACCTTTCATTTGAATACCCACATCAATTTTTCATATATATATATATATATATATATATATATA